TTCATCGGACGTCACGCAGAAACCTGCAGGATAATATTTGCTGTCATCAAAATCGTCATTACCGTCGGAACCGGTAGCGATCATTAGTATCAACAAATATCGTCTCATTAGTTTGGCAATGATGGGTGCTTGTGAATCCTGTTACAGAAATCTCTGCAACAGCGACAGTATAATTGTTAAAGGTTATTTCTTCTCTTAAATTTGCTGCTGTTTTATAACCAATCTTTTAAAAACTTTTATCTTGTTCAATATATTAAGAATTAACAAAAGTTATGCGTTAGGCACATTTTGACAAGTAATTTTCAAGTTAAATTGTAACGTTGATCATTTGCTTTTACAAACTACAAGAAAGTGATAATTTTTAGATGACGAAAAAGAAGAAAGCTTTCAGCCGGAAGAGCTATATATATATATATCAAAACTATCTTTCTCCCTTCTACTAGACGTAAAATGATCTTTTCAAATGAGTACTTTATTGTCACTTAACTATATAATTTTAAGGCTTAGAAAATGTAGTTTTGACTCATTAATAGTCTTAAAAGGTAGGCTCTAAAACTTCCTCAAATGCTTGAAATAAGAGGTCTAGAAACAAAATTATGTTATTCAAATCAGCCATTCAAACAGTGGTCATCGAACACACTTTGTTTTCAAATCTGAAAAGCTTACATCAACATTACACTTTTGTCTAATAGTAAGATAAAGTAATAGCAAAAATTGCAGGAAAGAATAGAGTGTACCTTCGGTGCTTCGGAATTTTCGTATTTTTGTTTTTGTAAATTCTGGACCTTTTTGTTGTTCTCAATTCTTCAATAGCTCTTAAACAAGTTGTTTACAGAAATGTGGCTTATATATATATTTTTTGCTTCTCATTGATGTTGATAAACGTTTCGTCTAGTTGAGGTTCAAGTAACTAATGAAAAAGCGATTTTAGTACACGAGTTGTTCAAAAAACTTCCAAATAATCAACTTCTTTAGAAGGAATCACGCAAAATTATTTCCTTTAGTACTGTTTTCATAACTTGTTCTCCAGTTTTATTAATATTATATTGACGAAAAATACAAATTGTTCCAATTATTTTTTGTTAGCTTTTAACGTCATTCGTTGGTCTGAGCAGGGTGGCCAAGTTCACCTACCTGCTAGTCCGTGATTCATAAGGCAACCAAATGTTCATTTTCCTGCAGCATTTTATAATATTTTCAGTTTTTTCTTTTTGAAACACCTTAGTCGTGGGGAGAATAAATTCTACAAAATGATTACGACTGCATAGCTGTAGTGCAATAAGCATACAAAAACTGGTGACGATGAAGAAGATATGATATGATAAATCTAACAAAAGCCAATCTTTTAAACATAACAGCCACCAAATTTTGTGTATTGAAAATTTGTTTCCTAAATCCAAGATCTGCTTCTTTTATATTCTGCATTTGAAATGCAACAATTTGTAGCCTGGAGACTATACCATATCCTTTTGTCTATTCCTTGATGCTCTTTCAAGAACGTTTTCTTTCAATACATTTGTAGCACGCACGTCTCAGATTCCAAAATCCGTCTACAAAATGTTTAGATAATAGCTGCTTATTTTCTCTTTGAATTTGACGTAGCCGTTTTTTGGAATAAAAGCTAAATAAAAAATGCTTTTTTTTTGGATTTTATGCCTATCTGCCGTTTGCAAAGCAAAAAATCATTAAACTGTTCATAACATGCAATATGTAAAAATCTGATTTGGTTAAAGTTAGTTTGTTAGTGTATTCTCTTCTTAATCAAGCTCAGTTGTTTAGAGGTCAGGTACAAAAAGTATTTCTTGTAAAGCCTATGATTGAGAAGCCGAGGAAACATTACTGATTTGCACTTTTTTATGTTCTTTTTTTCTTACTTTTAACGTTTTTATATTTGTACCTTTTTTTTCATATGTAATTAATTGAAATACCAAACTAAAATTCTTAGCTTGATTAATAATTCTTTGTGTAAAGGAAAAATTTCTGAAGGTGCAAAATGCAACTATTTCTTGAATGATCCTCTTTATAAGTGTTTCCTTACACTTTCGCCATTTAAAACAGTCATTTAGAGTGCATTAAAAAAAAACTTGAACATTAAAATTTCTGAAAGTTTTTTTTCAAACAAACACTGTAGTAAGAGGAATTCAATAGTCACATGGAACTGAGGTTGCTTAGAACAGGAGATAAATTCAGCATTGTTTTTAGTTCTATATTAAGCACTTTGTTGTTAATATCCTTACCATTATAGCTACTAATTAAGTTGTTTAAACAAAATAACAATTATTTTTTCAGCTATTAATGAGTAATAAAAAAATTTTAAATTCTGAAACATTAACTCTTATAACGTCTTTTTGACATAATTTTTTTTAGCTAACAGTTGGCTGGCGTAATTTTTGAATGAACAAAACGGATAGGGTTTTTCTAGTCTAATTTAGAATATAATGCTATATTTGAGCATGATAATCTTGGCAAAAAATGAGTTTATTCTCATAAACGAAAAAAAAACTAATAGATTGCTGCATTACCATTGTAGCATTATTTATTGAGAAAAATTGTTTGGCATTCTGTCGTTTCCTAAACTGTAATATTTCAGTGATTGAGCCTTCTACCGTCGCAAGCAATGACAACTCCAAATTGGAATCAAGCTCAATTTCTAATCATCTTCAACCTAATAATAACTATCAAAAGGACGGGAAACTTTTAGACGGCAGTCGTCACAGTAGTATAGCAGACGAAACGAGAAGTTTGCGCAGTCCTAGCGTACTATCATATCAAAGATTTTAATGCCATTATCGTGGTTTCTCAGCATCGTCTTCGAAGTGCTCTTTTCTGGCTAGGCCAGTCGCTCTTGACGATCGTTTTATCACAGAACATTCAATAAGTATAAAATTTATTCGTTCGTACAGATGTGAACGATCAGAGTTGAGTAACAATATTTATTCACTCTTATAACTGACTAAAAGCTAGACACCTCTAAAGACTCTGTCTGCTCAGGTCATTTAATCACTATAATTATCAAATTTATTCCAATGGTGCTTTTAAGAAAAGTTAAAAATTTATGTTAAAGCATTACTTATATTTTAGTTATTTCTGTGTGTTCAGTATTCACTTAAAAAATTTAGAAGTAATGTTACCTTCGTTTTATCTGTTCAGTAAGAAGGAACCTGTAAAGCTTAAGTGAATCATCTCTAAAATAATTGATAAAATGTCTTTTGGTAAATAAAACGAGAAAAATTCTATTTCGATAATACAATTTTTTGTTTTTCGTAAAATCCACAATAAAACTTTGCAGAAAGAAAAGATGGAAGAAAAAAGTGGGGTAGAGAGAAGTAAATACTGAAAAAAGTTGTTTATGTTGAAAATTTTTTATTTTTTGATTTTTTTTTGTCTGTTTCTTTTTTTCCTCTTAAATCTTTGTCAGCAAAGTAAATGCTATAAAAGTGTAATGCTTTAAAAGTAGAAATAAATATAAATCAGATCTGTTGACAACATTTATTAAACTTCTTGACAAACGTTCATACTTACAGTGCTACAGGAGACGTACTAAAAGTGCATGAGTATTTGTAACTTCTTATAAAAAAAGAAAAATTCAACCACTCACAGATGTCCACTATTCTTTTATAAATAAAAAAGAATTCGGGGAAAAATTTCTTCTTTTTAGGACTAGAAGAATACCTGCTATCTAACAAGAAAAAAGACTATCAAAGAAGAACAGACTTACAACAGTCAACCCGTATGATCAAGAATTAACTTTACTCCATCTGTATCTATATTTCAGAACGTAAAAATTTTGATAATTTGAGAGACTGCTGCAGAAAACATTAAGCTAAAGCATTTTTGCGCAGCAATCTTAGCAAATGTGCAAAACTGGAAAGTGCGAAAAACGAACAACCGATGAAATTAACTAAATTTGAAGCTGTTAACAAGCATGAGACCGTAGTGTTCAGAGATCAGTGGTACTTATTGCTAAAACGGAGTGATCGATAAGGAGACATTGATAACAACACTGTTGGCTTAACAGTTTCTTGTTGTTTTCATAAAAATCACTCAACATAATACAGTAAAGTTTGGTAAAAAAAATTTTCACATTAGCATTAAAATGTCATTAGATATATTACAGTTGAAAGCATCCTAGATTAGGCAAGATACAGCTTTCTTCTCCTTACAGTGCCCAATTTTTCCAGTGCTAATTTGTTTAATTGATTTCCGATGAAGAAGCAGTGCAACAAGAGAAACACGTCTTTCTTAGCAGTTGAGCTGCTAAAATTTTGTTTTTCAATAATTTTTCAATTTGGTAATGATAAATGTTTTTTGATCAAGAAAATTTAGTTATTTTTTGCTAATTTTTAACGAAAAAGCAGTAGAAAGTTATCAGAAGTAGTTTAAACGTAAACGTCTAGCAAGAAAAAGAGTTAAAATTTAGAGTCGTTTTATGAAACTTTTTCTTTTCAACTTTTTACAGTTGCTGTATATATAAAGAAGATTTTTTCAATTAAAAACAAAAAATAACTTTTAAAAATAATGATTTCATCTGCGTGTAAAAATGTGTTAAGAGCTGTTTTCATTTAGTCGGTTTTGTAAAATTTTATAAATCTGTAGAAACAGCAATAAGTTTGATGCCTACCGTTCAATTTTCACATGTTATCCCATTCCTCGTATGCTGATGGAGCCTGATAATTTTCCTCAGTTGGTGCTTTTTCTTCCATATTCTAAAAATAAAAAATGTAGAAGCTTTTTCTTTTGTTTTTTATATTTTTAAGAAAAAATTATACTACTTTGAACTGTTATTTAATGAAAGATATTAGTTAATTTTGATAAACGTTACATTTTACTACTGCAGCAGCAGCAACAGCGGTAAATAACCAAAATTACAGAAGTAAATGATATTTACTAAAATCGTTTATTTGACGTTAAATTAGTTCACACTATCAAAATACTAGAAGATAAGATTTAATGAAACCTGCTCTTTTCGTTTACTTAAGAATTCTAAAAGTTTAGTTATTTTAAGGGTAAAGAAAATGCATTGCAAATTGCTTTTTTAGATTTACCTGTTCTTTTTCATAAAGCCAAGTTTCATAGTCTCGTATTGTATTCTGTACATAAGAGGTCACATAATGCTGTTCTTCTGTTCGCTGATATTTTTGTAGTAAATCAACAGCCAAATCTTTAAGTTCAGCAAGATTTAATGCTTCACATTCTCCAACTAATCTGGAAAAAAAAATACACATCGGTAATCTCAACAATTTTGTTTGATTAATTTGGAAACAACTTACTCAATGTCGTTATGTAAGAAAAAAGATAGAAAGTTGGTACGAAACTTAGTAGAAAACAACTTTACATTGGTTTTTTGGATTTTCCAAAAGAAAAGGACAAGACTTTTATTAAGCTAACTCCGGTGACTAAATTTAGTGACCGTAAATATGGTATATACTTTGCCAAATCATCTGGTTTTGATGGCAGCGCTAACGACGGCACAAATCGTTCTTTCTTTAACCGAAGATATGCCAATATGTGCCGAAAAACTTTAGGGTCACGGTCTAAGTAGTAGTTGCCTAAACAATAGTTGTGTTTAACAATAAATTTTGTTCAAAAAATTTTTTGTTCACTCAACTCTTGAATCTTCTTTTAAAACAAAATTTTGTAAAATTTAATAAATAGCAGCACTTAAATAGCATCTTTCACATATATTTGTCAAGCTGACTACTGCATGTGCTATTTGCAATCGAAAACTTGCAGCAATAAAAATATTAACTGTTTTCAACAAATTTCTGCATTATGTATGAAGCTTAAAACTGAATTCAGGTATTACGGTGAAATAATACTACCTCCTCTATCCGTAGATACGGGTTTAATAGTACCAGGTTTAAACCATTCAGCCAGTTTACTTCGTGGATCAGCCAGTAGGTCGGTTCGTCGAACAGTATATTTCTTGCCACCAACATTAATGTTTAAAACATCGTCGACATGTCGCCTGGCAATTCTGAATGCTTACTTCCAGCAAATGTTTCCAGTTAATAACAGACCTTTTTTTTCGAAAAAAAATCTCAATTTGATGTTACTATTAATGAAATGTCTGACTTTTGCTGTTTTATAGTTTGTAATTCTACATTTCTAAACAGCTGTAAATAAATGCTCAACATTCTAGTGATTATGCAAATCAAAAATTGAAGAAAAAGTTAGCTACAGTTTGGCATGTGAAAATTTTTTAGGAATTATGCAAGTAGCATTATTAATTTCTACATTTTAACTGAGTTAACTTTGTCACAGCTGAAAACTGAAGCAAATATCTTAACAATCAAAAATTTTGATGAAACTGCTTGTAGCCAGTATTCTAATGAACTAAGGTACCAACTTTGACATCCTGACACTGAATGATCACAGATAAACAGGTTTGAGCGAAGATCTTTGGTTGTGTCTGCTTAATTTTTGCAATACAGATGCTGTAATTTTCAATAAAAATTTATTTTTTTTAAAATTTTTTAAGCATTCGTATTTCGCTGTTTAACGGTTTATAAAGCTGTTGTTAAATATACTAAAACAAAAAAAGTAATGCAAATTAATGTACATTTTTTAGCGTACAGTCAAAAAAAAACAGCAACTAATTACGGTTTAATAAGAAGAAAAGGAACTAATATTTGGAAAGACAGTTATTTCTAATAAATTTGTGTTTTCTAAAGCATAAGTTTATGCCTGTTGAAAATGTTGAGAATTTTCGTTTTTTTTAGTGTAATATCTTGTTTAGTAACAAATTAAAGTTTTCAAGTCGATAACGAGACAAGCAGAAGTCTTCTTTTGTGCTAATTTTAAAGCAAAGAACAGTAAAAAAAAAACAAACAAAGATAGTGACAATGAAAATAATGTTAGTAATAGTATTAATAATGATAATAATAGTGGTAGTAATAATAATAACAATAAAAATGATAATAATAATAGTAAAAGTAGTGCATTAGAATGGATTGTTGGAAGAAACCAATTGTTGATAGGTGCATAAAGCATGCATTTGGCACTGCAAATGCATGAAACATTTCATTGTTTCCTGCAGCGCCTTTATGAATCACTGTGGATGATGGGGAGACCAATTGACACAAGCTTCACGAAGAAGAAGCAGCAGCAGCAGAAGCAATGCATACAGAATCCAGCTAGAGAACTGGTACTTAAGAATAATCTGACAATATTTATATTTGGATCAGA